GGACGGCCGCTCACTGCGGCTGCTGGCCGCTCACGCTGGCTGCTGGCTGCACACGGTAGCCCATGGCAACCCACTGCAGCAGGGGCTGCAGCCTACGCCGTCACCGGCAACTCACAGCAGCCCAGCTCCAGATCAAGGTGTTGTTCACCATCTTAGCTGTAGAGGGCGCAGTGTCACTGTCCCTCATGTGGGATCCGAACCGGGGCCCTGCTGCTCAGAGCTGGCGTCCCAAGCCGGATCTTAACCAACATGCCACTTGGCCAGCCCTCTTTCTTTTTTTTTTTTTAAATAACAGGTCTATTGAGATATTCATATACTATACAGTTCACCTTTGTAAGGTGTACAATTCAGTGGTTTTTAGTATATTCACAGGGTTGTGCAACTATATCACCACAGTCAATTTTAGACCACTTTATTACTCCAAAATGCAACTCATCCCCCCATTTCCTTGCAATCCCTCCCCCCAGCACTAGGCTCCTACTAATCTATAGATTTGTATCTGTAGATTTGCCTATTCTGGACATTTTATATGAATGGAATTATATGATATAAACTGTCTTTTGTGACTGGATTCTTCACTTAGCATGTTTTCAAGGTTCATACCTATGGTAGCATGTATCAGTGACTTCATTCCTTCACATTGCCGAATAATATTCTCTTTTTTATGAGTACACCACATATTATTTATCCATTCATCAGCCGATGAGCATTGGGTAGTTTTCATATTTTGGCTTTAGGAATAATACTGCTATGAATATTCATGTACAGGTTTTTGTGTGGACATGTTTTTATTTCTCCTGGGTATATACTTAGGAGTGGAATTGCTGGGTCATACAGACACTATGTTTAACCTAGTGAGAAACTGCCAGACTGTTTTCCAAAGGGCTGTACCTTTTTACATTCCCACCAGCAGTGTATGAAAGTTCGATTTCTCCTTATCCTTTCCAACACTTGTTATCATCTGCCTTTTTTATTGTAGCCACCCGACACCAGGACATCATTTAGCCCAGTTCTCTACCACTTTATAACAAGGATCACCTTTTCTCTCGTGTCCAGTAATGTGCACTACATTTCCTTCTGAGGTCTCACCAGAAGCACCTTCAACATTCATATTTCTAGCAATGTTCTGTTCATGGTGATACATGCATTCCTTAGGACAATAGAAGCTGCTCTGCTGTGCTTCACTTTCTCTGAGCTGTCAGCAGAATCATTTTTTTTTTTAACTTCGTTGGGGAACAGTGTGTTTTTTCCAGGACCCATCAGCTCCAAGTCAAGTCGTTTTCGATCTAGTTTTGGAGGGCACAGCTCACTAGCCCATGTTGGAATCGAACTGGCAACCTTGGTGTTACAAGCACCATGCTCTAACCAACTGAGCCAACTGATTTCCCCAGAATCATTTTTTTTTAATTATTTTTTATTGTGAAATACACATCAGAATCATTTTTAATGCCCGTATTATTACCAAGTTTCTAGTGGTTGGCAGCAGTCCTTGGCATTCCTTGGCTTACAGCTGCCTCATTCCAATCTCTGTCTCCATTATCACATGGCCATCTTCCCTGTATGTGTCTCTGTCGTCACATGGCCTCCTTGAAGGGACACCAGTCACTGGCTTGGGGCCCACTCTTATGCCTTGATTACATCTGCAAGACCCTATTTCCAAAGAAGATCATGTTCACAGCGATCAGGGGCTAGGACTTCATATCTTTTTGAGGGGAACACAACAGGTATTTTGTGTCTTTGTAGGAATTTTTATGTTTCATCTAAGTTATCTAATTTGTTGGCATATAGTTGTTCATAATAGTCCCTTATGATCCTTCTTATTTCTGTAAGCTTGGTAGTAATGTCCCTCTTTCATTCCTGATTTTAATAATTTGAGCTTTTCTTTCTCTTCAATCTAGCAAAAGGTTTGTGAATTCTGTTGATCTTTTCAAAGAACCAACTTTTAATTTCATTGCTGTTCTCTATTCCATTAATTTCCACAAAGTTTTACTGTTCTCTTCCTTCTGTTTGCTTTGGGCTTAGTTGCTCTTCTTTTTCCTGTATTTGAAGGTGGAGGGTTAGGTTATTGATTTGGGAATCTTCTTTTTTGACATAGGCAGTCACAGCTATAAATTCTCTTCTTTATCTTTCCTTTTTTTTTTTTTTTAAAGATTTTTATTGGTGAATTGGGGGGATGGGAACAGTGCTGGGGAATTGGGGGAAGGGGGACAGACAAGTTGCTGTCGTTTTTGTTCTTCAGTCTAGTTGTGGAGGACGTTGCTTCACTGGTCCAAGTTGGCACCATCATTGCGCTCTTCCCGGGTGAGGCAGATCAGTCGCCGGCTTCTGGACGGCCTCTCACTGCGGCTGCTGGCCGCTCACGCTGGCTGCTGGCTACACACGGTAGCCCATGGCAACCCACTGCCACAGAGGCTGCAGCCCACGCCGTCGCCGGCGACTCACAGCAGCCCAGCTCCAGGTTGAGCCGTTGTTCAGCATCTTAGCTGTAGAGGGCAGTGTCACTGGCCCTCATATGTGGGATCCGAACCGGGGCCCTCTGGCATCCCAAGCGAGTTCTTAACCATCGCGCCACTCGGCCGGCCCTCTTTCCTTTTTAATAGACAACCTTGCATCCAAGACTTTGTCTAGTAGAAAACCTAGGACAAAGGAGAAACCGGCAGTTTTTTATTATGGGTGTTTTATTGCTTCTTCCTCACTCCAGGCGTGTCTGGTCTGTGACTTGAGCCTCGATAGGATGGCTACTGGTCAGTTAGCACATCTTCCTGGGCTCCTTGACAGAAGCGTGGATTGGGGGGAGGTTGTCTCTCCTCACAGGGGCCCAGGGAAGGGTCCATAATGCTGCTCATAATGTGGCTCGGTCAGGGGTGGTCATGGCTAAAGGGGTGATGGCCCCGCGTTCTCTGGACCTCTCTGGCCCTTACACAACACTTAAGTGTTCTCAACCAGGGTTCTCGGCTGTGGTTTTTTGTTTTTAATGGCATTTGTATAAGGTAATCTGTGATGTGTGTGTATCCTGAATGACACAAGTGAGGTCTTGCTTTATAGTTTGCACCACAATCCTCAGAATTAGTGTAAATACTCAGAAGTAGTATTTCCACAGCACAGAAAACAAAACACACATTAGAAAAGACACATCGTTAGCATTACTAACTGGGATGGGTAGATGATGGATGAGTGGAAAGACTGTTCTGATAACTTTTTACAAACAAGGGGCCGCTGCCCCCACCTCTGCTCAGTGTTCCCAAAGGGCCTGTTCTTCCCAGGTGGGGGGTTCTAAACACTGGGCTGAGAGGACCTCCATGACCCAGGAAATGCCCTGTAACCCTGGTCCACTCTGCCTGCCCTCCCCCAACACAGGGCTGATTCCTCGGCCTGGTATGGCAGGTGAGATGACGGTGGTGTCTCCCTAGGGTGTCTGTGAGGAAATGACCTACGAGGAAATTCAGGATCATTACCCACTGGAGTTTGCCCTGCGGGACCAGGACAAGTACCGGTACCGATATCCTAAAGGGGAGGTAGGTGGAATTTTGGGGCTTAATCCCAGCCTCCTGCTTAGTGTGACCGCCTGCAGCTGAGGGCCCTGTGGGGCTCTGAGGGGGATACATGGGCTACAAGGGGGCCTGGCCTCAGAGGTAGGCCAGGCTGGGTGCGTGTGTCATCTCCACCACTTCTCAGCCGTGTGGCCCAGGCTGTGGTCCCTTCCTTGTGGACTCCCAACCCTGAGACCCACTGGATCCCTGCCACCCGTTGCTCCCCAACTTTGCCTTCCCCTTCCCAGGGGTATCACAGGGTGGTCCCGCCCTCCCTGCAGCTTCAGATACCACCCCCAGCCCAGACCCTCACAGGGTCGTTCCTGGGACCTCAGGTATTTCCGACAGGTTGTACTCTGGAAGTTATGGGGGTCTTTACTCCATCCCCCCACACCCAAGGCCTGTTCTGTGCATTCTGTCTGCTGTGGGTAGAAGGGAGCAGTGTCTTTCCACCAATCGCCAGTTGCCAGCTTGTGAATTCCAGCAGCTGAGGGTTCAACAAAGGGTCCTGTGGGTGGGCACAGAGGTGGCCCCTTGGGATGGCAGCTTGAGGTCCAGCCCTGGGCCGGTGGAGGTCATCCTTTTGCCAGTCCTCAACCCACAGCTTCCCTCTCCAGCTGACATCTCACTGTCATAGTCCTGTAGGGACAGGCCCAGCACTGAGCCACCCACCCCCATGCCTTCAGGAGCCAGTGGTCCTAGGGGTGAGGAGGTGGCCCACTACCCAGGATGTCCATCCCCAGCCCTGGAGCTGGGCCTGAGGGAGCCTTCCCACTTGCCCTTGCAGTCCTACGAGGACCTGGTCCAGCGACTTGAACCTGTCATCATGGAACTGGAGCGGCAAGAAAACGTGCTGGTCATCTGCCACCAGGCTGTGATGCGCTGCCTCCTGGCCTATTTCCTCGACAAGGCGGCAGGTGCGGGCCCTGCCCCCGGGGAGTTGGAATGTGTGTGTATGAGAGAGAGGGAGGGACTGTCACCCAGACATCCCTGGCGTGCCAGCCCTCCCCGTCTGTGTCCACAGAACAGCTGCCTTACCTCAAGTGTCCTCTGCACACCGTCCTGAAGCTGACCCCTGTGGCTTACGGTAAGGGAACTTCCTGCACACTGACCTGGTGGCTAGACTGGCTGTCTACAGAGGCCCTTGATTTTCTGCAAATTCCTTGAAAATTCATTAGGAGGTCACTCCTCCTCCCTCCACCCCCCTGCCTTTTCCAATTTGCTTTTAAACTTTTTTGCTTCCATTTCTGTGGCCACGGGAAGCCTCCCCAGTGATCCTTCCTTAACTGTCACCCACCCACACAAGGGGCTTTTCCGCTGGTTTTTCCAAAACCCCCACAAAGCCCCACGGCCCCCAGGACCTAGACCTTAGAATATTCTGGGTGCCGGGTGGTTTGTGTTGCATCTCTGCCATGGGCTGTGCCAGTGGAAACCTCAGGCAACTTCCTACTGAGCTCCTGGGTCTTGGCGCCTCACCCTTAGCACAGGCTACGAGGCCATGCTGTCTGGGGGATGATGACAGAGTTCAATCGCAGCTGATATAATTCATGTGCGGTCACCCCCCGACCCCCCACTGCACTGAGCGCTGCGCACGATGTTGACTCAGCCTTATGTGTGACAGGGTTGGATGTGGGTGGTTTGGGGGCCCTGAAGACTGAGCGTAATGCCCCATGCTGAGCTAGGCCTGTTGCTCCTCAGGCAGCTCTCAGCCCCCGAGGTAGGACGCCTGGGTCCTCAGCGTGGCCCTGCCTGGGTGTCTAGTCTCCTCACTGAGGCTGTGCTGGGCAGTGGCACTTGATAAGCACGGACCTGACAAGGTGCCCCATCCTTCCTTATGGGACCCCCAGAACTGCCCAAGGTGGGAGGACGAGGGTGAGGCTGAGACACCGGTTCTGTCCACAGTACCCCAAGCCTCCTCCTGAGAGAAGGTTCTTCCCTTTGGCAGGTTGTAAAGTGGAGTCCATATTCCTGAACGTGGTGGCTGTGAATACGCACCGGGACCGGCCTCAGGTACCAACAGGGTCTCTGCTGGGGTGGCCGCAAGTTCCCAGGGGTGTCCAGATGTAGCATCTTTCAGGGCCAGGCCCAGCTGGGACGCCTGCCAGAGAGAGCTTGACTTCTCTGCCCAGGCCGCTGTCCTGTCTGCAGGGTGAGGCTGTGGCTTGGTGGGGTGGTGCCCTGGGGGTGGGGAAATCTTTGGAGCTTGGTCACCAGGCGAAGAAGCGCCTGAGCCTGGGTGTGGCGGCTCCCCAGCAGTCCCCCCATAGACGTCTGAGCCAAGGGGGGGGGTTCCCAGCTGAGGAAGAGGCTGGAGGCCGACAAGAGGGCAGGTGACGATTCTTCCAGCAGCCCAGGCCTCATGAGCACCTTTAAAAATTACAGTGGTGTTGTGTTTGTTGAGGAAAGGGCCATGCAGATGCTGAGGGGGTCTCGGCACTGGGCAGAGAGCTTCCCGCGGAAAAGCAGTTCACCATCCTGTCTCCCCCAGTGCCTTGTTTAAGATAGAAAGCTCCTCAAAGTGTCGCCCAGACCACTTTCTATGCAGGGGGGCGGTCCTTCCACCACATTGCTTACCTTTTCCACTGAGGCCGAGGCAGGACCACCCCTTCCAGACCCCATTCCCGGAGATGGCACCAAGAAGGCTCCTGGGGCCTCAGCTGTGCCTGCCGCCATCCACTATAGGGTACGCTGGGCCCTGGGTCCCTGCCAAGCACTGGGCTGCTTACCTTGGCCTTGAGCCCCTGAGACAGAGACATGTGGGTCTGTCTCCCCAAAGCTGCTGTCCCACTCCAGGACCAGTCACTGTGCAGGCCTCTTTCCATTTGCCCTGAGTCTGATCCAGGCCTAGCCTGGCATCCCAGACTGGGATTATTAGGTCCCAGGGGAAGACGTCCTAACAGGCCTCCTTGGTGCTGAAGAAAGAAAGCCCAGAAGGCACTGGGCCCCAGTACTGACTGACAGGGTGAAAGTGAGAGAAGCCCAGGGATCTGGCAGTCATTGGGGGCTTATCCTGCTGGACCATGGGACAGGAGCCAGCATGGCCACGGGATAGCTGGCTGCCACCCTGCCTGCCTCCGCGTGGGTGCTTCTGAGAGGCAAACTAATGCTGGCCACAGGTTCCCGGATGTTCCCCTTTTGGGTGGGCAGGGTCCGCAGGTGCTGGCCCATCTTTGGAAGCAGGTTGTGGTGAGAACTGTACCTGCCGCTCCAATTCCTATGGCTGGTCCTAGAACGGGGTGTGGCCATGGTCTCCCTCCCTGCTGATCTAGGCATATCACATTGCATAGGGCTGCAACCCAAGTCGTTGGTGACCTGCTCTGGCAAGTGATGGTTATGAAACTGGGTAGGACAGTCTCACAGAGTCGGTTCCTTAAGCCTGAACTCCGCAGGCTGTGGACAGAACTTGGTGGGGGCTGCCTGCAGCCAAGGAGTTCCCGAGGTCCAGGAGGGCCTGTGCCCTAGCTCTGAGAGGAGAGACTGGCTGCATCTGGGGCTACATCTGACAGCTGTCCACTGACGCTTGGAACCAGGAGGAGGGCACTCCTAGGAGCTGGTCCCCTTCCCTGCCCCCACTGATGAGGATTCAAGTCCCAAGCAGGTGTTCCTCCCCACTTGACTCAGACCTGAGGCAGGAGGTGGAGATGGCCTCGCTCTGGGTAATGCCTGACCTGCTTGCAAGGAGCCAGCGGGGACCAGGGCCATCCTCAGCCCCCATTTTTGTTCTTGTGTTTGTCCACCAACCATGTGCCCAGAGGCTCTGGAGCCCTTGCTCTTTGGGAAGGTTGGGGTCTGCAGTCCTGCAGCTGGGGCTCCCTGGGGTGAGAATGTGAGCCCAGACACCCTCAGCAGTGAGGAAAGCAGACAGCGGGCAGCGGGTATCTGTTCTTGCCACAGGTTGAATGTTCTGTGTTTTATTTTTGTGCAGAATGTAGACATATCGAGGCCTTCAGAGGAAGCCCTTGTCACAGTCCCTGCTCACCAGTGACTGTGTCTCATCCACGTCAACCCCTGGCCAGATGTTGATCTCTGCAGACAAGGTCATTCCAGGCCCCGCGGGCCATGTGACAGTCACCATGCAGGAACACCCTCAAAGCCATATGTGGCTGGTGGTGCCCGGAACCCCCGCCCCAGTCCGCCTGCTTCCTGTTGACAGCGAAGGGGTTGTACCTGGTGCCCGACCTGCTGCTAAAAATCACTCAGCCAGACTGTGCCTATTCAGGCCGGTGAGAAGTTGCCCAGCACCGGACCCTTCTGTTGTCACTTTGGGCATCCTCTCTCACCAGTCGGGTTGGCTTCATGAAGTATGAAACCCTAAAATGTGAAATGGAAAGCACTTGCTGTGATGTTCCCACCATGGCTGAGCTGCCTAGAGTGGACGTGGGGACCCCTGCAGGGCCCCTGCAGTCCTGTCTGTGGCCACTTCTTGAGTCAGAGGCAAGGTCTTTGTGGGCTCCTGAGTTCCACTGCCTCCGGTCAGAGGAGAGCCCACCCTGCCCTGCCCCGAACTGAAAGCTTCCGCCATGGCAGACATCTTGACTGGCCTGGGCCATCTGTCTGAGCCACTCAGGAAAGCAGTGTGCTCACTTCAGCACAGTGCAATGTGCAGAAGTCTGTAGGGAGCACAGCGTTTGCAGCCACCTTCCCAGGCGTATACACTGGAGTACTTGTGGGAGCTGGTGGCCAAGGCCGCCCCTTCCCGACTGCTCCCATGGTGAAACCACGGAAAGACAGGGCATTGTATGAGTTACCCTTCCCAGTGCACATGCCCAGGTGCTCAAGGGAGAGGCTGCCGTCCCATCACCCCTCCTGGCCCTGCCCGCCGGGCTACCTCCCGCCCCTGGGGGGGCAGGGGCATGCATTTGCTGTGAATGATTGAGAAAAGCTTGTTGTGGTCCTGTAATGCCTGTCCTGGCATTTGTTGCCCTCCACCTGTGGGACTGAGCAGGGGGGAGGCTGGAACCCGGAGGCAGCCTTGTCCACGGGGGATTTTTCCCAGACACATCACAGCTTTTGATTCATGTGAATGGGAGCCTGTTGGAAATCTGCCATCTGTCATGCTCCCGAGTTCTTTTGGGCTCAGAGAGGCATGCCAGGCAGCGCTTTCTGGCTCCATTTTATAGCTGGGCAACCAGGCTGGCCAGCAGGTTGGGGGCTGGGTGAGAACGTGTCTGGGTTTGTAGTCGGATGCCTGCTGTCCACAGATGGACCTTGGTGAAGCTAGGCCCCAGGATCCCAAATCCACTTTGTACCTTAAACCTAGGCTGGGCCTGGCAGACAGCCTACCTTTCTCAGTCCCCCAGGTGCCACCTGCCCCTGAAGGAAGTCCGTGACCCTGGCCCCGGCTCATGGTCTCAGTTTTGTGTGCTGCAGCTGTGGACAGACATGGTTGAGAGATGTCCATGTGGTGATGCAGCTGGGTCCTCCTTCTGGACTTATCTCCTGTCAGACCCCCAAGCCCCTTAGACCCAGTGCCACTGCCTTTGTGACATGGGGACATCAGTCTTTCCTTCTGTGTCCCCTGGAGTTTTGGTGACTTTTGGTCACCTGGACATACTCACTTAGTCAGTGCCATGTACATCTGGATGTCACCACCTCACCGGGACCTCAGGCTGGCTGAGGTGCGAGCAGTGAGGCCTTTTCATTCTGTGTCTCAAGGATTGTGACAAGGCAGAGGGAAGTGTGGGATCACAGCCTGGGCTGGGGCAGCCCCTCCTCACCCCTGCCTTGGAGTGGTCTCTGTACGGGCTGTAACTGCCTGGCTGGCTGCCAGGCTTTAGCCCTGAGAGTCGATGCTTGTGTTGTAGATGTTTTACTGCTCTCCCTGGAAGGGGTGGTGTTGGATCTCAGCCACACAGCATACTGTGTCCAGCATTCTTTGCAATAAACACTTTTTAAAAGAAATCTGAATCTAAGGTTGTACCTTGTGGCCAGCCCTCCATTTGTGAGGTGTCTTTTCCGGCCAGCTCTGCAGACTCCCGTGTTGTGGTCTCTCTGTGTTGGGATCCTTGGTACAGCTCTCACCCCCAGGCCTACCCCTCTCTGGGAAGCAAACTCTTGCCCTGGAGTGAGCCCTGGGCCTGGCACACATGGGCAAGGGCCCCAGTTTTCTCGGCCAACCTAGGGTTCTGGGCCCTCACCCCTGAGCAAGAGGCAGATGGGGTTGGATCTGGGGTGGAGCACCATTAAGGGAGGGTCCTGGGGTCCCTGGAAATGTGGGTCCCAAATATTCGCATCCTTGGGGAGACTGGGTCAGGGATGGAGGGGCTACACAACACCGCGGGTGAAGGTGTGTTGGCTAGTTCTATTTTGTCACCTACCTCTGAGCTGGGGAAGATGGTGACAAGGGGCAGGGTTTTTCCTTTCCCATGCCTCAGAATTTCATTGGAGTGTCTACACCTACCTCATGCGCTGGAGCTGGGCTGTTGGGAGGGCAGGTAGCAGGGGTGCTTGTCTGTTGACTTGATGGGGCTGGACATGGCTGGGTGCCCACCTGCGTCTCTCCCGGTGTGTCAGTGTGGGGGATGATAGCTTTGGCTGGGCTGAGCTATGGCTCTGCCTTACCCAGCTGTGTCACGGTGGATGACAAACCCCTGGGCTCGTCCCAGGGCTCAGAAGGCTATCAGCTACCACTGTCTTCCTGGTGGGGAAGGTTGGGGGGCAGCTCAGTGGTCCTTACCCTGTGTGCCGGCACTGAGTTCCTGGGGTGGACACCTGACCTTCAGTACTTTTTGAAGAAGGTGTTGAAGATTTTTAGCAACAAGGTAACAACAGAAAGAATGAAATGTAACTATCAGAATTTTTCTTCAGGGTCAGTGTTCTACCACAACCTAGAAAGTGTGACTATGCGATTATATGTTGTCACATTGAAGAATTTTGTAGCATTTTGGGTTGCTAGGAAACAGTGGCCATTAGACAGGATCAGAGGATATTTGGATTGAATGAAATGTTACAAAGACATAGATTTCAGCAACATTTGAGTTATGTTTATAATGATTATATACTATAAATAAATAAAATATAATTATCACCTTCAAAGGGGAGTGTCGCCATGTTTGGTTTACGCCAGTGATTATTCATCCCCTGAGGCTGGGCTCATTGGTGTTTGAACAGAACTATTTTATTAAAAGTGAAAAATAGCTTTGTGGCAAGCCAGAACTAGTGTCTACCACGCCCTGGTTAATGGCCACAGGCCTCTTTGGGAAGGGTGGTGAGGAAAGTGCCAGCAGGAACCTGTGCTATTTTCACAGGGCCCTCCTTAAAAGGCACCCACCCCACTTCGTTCAGGGGTCCCTGGGTTTGTGAACTGATCTTATCTGGAAAATTGGTTAGAAATCCTTGCTTGCAGTCATGTCTCTATTGGTCAACCCTGCAGTTATTTTGTTCTGCACATCAAGTAAGTCCTGCTGCACGCCAGTCCCTGCACCACTCTCTCCTCTGGCAGCTCAACCCTGCTACTTGGCCCTTGTCACCCAGGGTCTTGGTATCTGCATTGAAATCAAGGGGCCATTTCAACAAGAGTGTCTCCAATCAGCATTCCTGACACACGGAGGACAGGTTCTTTTCATGGGTTGAATTGTGTTGAATTATGTCCCCCACCAAGTTCATCCACTGAAGACCTAACCCCCAGGACCTCATAATGTGACCTTATATGAAAATAGGGTCATTGTAGATGTAATAAGATGAGGTCATACTGGAGTGGGGTGGGCCCTTAATCCAGAACTCCCTAATGTCTTCAGAGAGAGAGCATGGGCCTGCTGACATCTTGGTTTTAAACTTCCAGCCTCCAGGACTATGAGACAATAACTTCCTGTCGTTTAAGCCAACAGGTACTTTGGTACTTTGTTATAGCAGCCCTAGTAAACTGAAAAATTTTCAAAGATGCTTCCCTCAGCAGTGAACTGCCTAAAGCCTTGGTGATGGGACTATCTTCTGGGTCCTCTCCAGGGACTCAGGGAAAAGGTGAGTTGTCTGTAATCAATTCAGTCCAACATTTATTGGGTTGTCAGAAAAGTCATGACGTATTTTGTCTATGTTTTTCAAAAGTCATTTATTTATATAAAGAACAAAGATCAATCAATGATATATTGCCCGTTTTTTTCTACAACATTTGGCCATCTTTCAATGACCTTCATAATTCCTCGTTCATAGAAGGACCTGTCTTTATCGGCAAAAAACTGAACAAGGTGCTGATTTACAGCATCATCTGAATTGAACATTATACCACGCAAGGAGTTTTGAAGAGAGCGAAACAAATGGCAGTCTGACGGAGCAAGGTCAGTCGAGTATGGTGGGTATGGCAACACATTCCATCCAAGCTCCAATAATTTTTGACAGGTGATCAAACTTGTGTGTGGTCTTGCGTTGTCACGATGGAACAAAACTCCTTTACGATTAACAAGCTCTGGACATTTCTGGATGATGGATTCGTTCAAACTGTCCAATTGCCGACAGTACACATTCGAATTGATTGTTTGGCTCCTTGGTAGGAGCTCGAAAAACACAACTTTAAAATCCTACCACAATGAGAGCATAACCTTCCTCTGATGAATGTCTGCTTTCAATGTCATTTGAGGCAAATCATCACATCGGGACCAAGACCATTTGCCCACCACATTGTTGTAAACAATCCACTTCTCATCACCAGTTATCAGTCGCTTCAAAAAAGGATCATTTTCCTCATGTTTAATGAGCATATTGCAGATGTTTATACACACCGTCAAATGAACTTCTTTGAGTTCATGCAGAACCCAAATATCGAGCTTGCTTACGTATCCCAGCTTCTTCAGGTGGTTGTGAATGCTTGAATGATGGATGTTCAATGTTTCTGCAATCTCTCGTGTCATGTAATGTGGGTTTGACTCGATCAATGCCTTTATTTTGTCGTTGTCAACCTCAGTGGGCCTCCCTGACCGAGGAGCGTCGTTGAGACCAAATTCACCAGCACGGAATTTCATGAACCATCGTTGGCACTGACGTTCTTGTAGAGCATTGTCACCGTAAACTGTATGCAACTTTTCACAAGCTTGACATGCGTTCTTCCCTTTATGGAAGTGAAACAGTAAAATATGGCAAAAATGCACAGTTTGGTCTTCCATCTTCAACTTGTTGTGAAATCTCCAAAACTCAACCAAATTGCTCAATTTTGGGTTTTTTTAGAATGAAGCTAGAACTGTCAGCTGTCAAATGACATAGCAGTAACATAAATGCGAATGACTCTAGTATTCCAAAAATGAACTAGTGCCATCTGTCGCAAAGATGTGTCATGACTTTTCCGACAACCCAATATCTTGAACAAATGTGTGAATTTTCCTGGGGCTTTAGATTCTTTCCTGTACATCCTACTAGGGAACTTTTGGCATCTCCATTGCATGTAGTAAGACCCAGCTTCAATTTAGCCAAGCACATAGACACACGGAATAACCCCCAGCAGCTTAAGCCAGCACCTGTCTCCAGAATTTCTGGCAAGTGTACCTGTATTGATAAATTCAACCCAACCTAAACTTACGGTCTTATCTCCTTGGTCTAGGACTTCAATCTTGTCCCACAGAGTCTCCGTATTTTGGCCAACATAAAATAACAGTCTCACAATTCTTTTGATATATATGCTTCCCCCTCTGGGTTTGACTTTGTAAGAAGGTCTCCAGGGCTGGCCAAATGGCGCGTTGGTTAAGAGTTGGCTTGGGACTCCAGCTCTGAGCAGCAGGTTCCTGGTTTGGATCCCACATGCGGGCCAGTGACACTGGGCCCTCTGCAGCTAAGATGGTGAACAACAGCTTGACCTGGAGCTGGGCTGCCATGAGTCACTGGTGATGGCATAGGCTGCAGTGGAGCTGGCCGGCAGCTGGCATGCGCTTTCGTGAGCTGCTGTGAGCCGCTGTGAGTGGCCGTCCAATGGCCGGCGAGTGACTGTCTCACCTGGGAAGAGCGCAATGATAATGCCAACATGGGCCAGTGAAGTGATGTCCTCCACAACTAGACTGAAGAACAAAAAGGCAGCAACTTGTCTGTTCCCCTTCCCCGATTCCCCAATGCTGTTCCCCTCCCCCAATTCTCCTATAAAATCTTAAAAAAAAAAAAAAAAAAGGTCTCCAGACATGCAAGAATCCATCTGTAGTTTAAGGCACTAGAGATACCAAGGAGTTGGGGAGGAGGGCCATGAGATGAATTGGTGGACTGCCTGCTGGCACAGAACTGACATTCTAGTGGTGGAGACACAGTTAAGAAATAAGATATAGGGGCCAGCCGAGTGGCTCAGCTGGTTAGGAGTTGGCTTAAGAGCGTGAGCTCTGAGCAACAGGGCCGCCGGTGTGATTCACACATGGGCCAGTGACACTGCGCCCAAGCTGAGCTGTTGCTGAGCTGCCAACAGGTAGCAGGATGGCTCAGCGTGTGTAACAACAAGATTGCCTGTTCGATGGTGGGCCACGCCCACCCCTAACTAAGATTGAACACACCACCTTGAGCTTAGAGGCCACGAGCTGCCGACTGGCAGCCAGATGGCAACCAGCGCCCTCCACAATGAAGATTGAAGAACAACAACTTGGCTGGTCCCCCTCCCCAATTCCCCAACACTGTTCCCCTCCCCCAATTCCCCAATAAAAATCTTAAAAAAGAAAGAAGATATAGTGAATCAGAGAGTGCTGAGATGGGAGGGAGTGGGAAGGGGGTGTGAGAAAGCCTCACTGAGGTTACTAAAGGCCTAGATGAGGCCATGGCACACTCCACAGCCAGTGCAAGGCTCTGAGGGCAGACTGAGCCTGGTGAAGTCCAGGAACATAGAGGAGCCTGGGGTGCTGCAGAAGACAGAGTGAGGAAGACGAAGAGCAGGTCAGAAATCATGGGGGACAGATGATATGGGGCCTTGGAAGTGGGAGGTCCATGAAGGACTTTGAGCCAAATGACTTG